GCGCCTCCTGGTGGAGGAAGGGAGACAAACACAGAAAACACAAACAGACAGACAGGAGTCCTGACACTATTGTCATAAACCTTGGTTTTAAAATGGTTTACTTTATTTAAACTGGCCAAATAAAAACTCGGCGTCAAAATGTGGGTCATTTTAATGTTTTGTATCTTGAATGGAGTAAGTCATCTTTATTACTAAATATACAAAGCTGCTGCGCAGCTTATAACTTGAACATGGAGGAGGGAGCACATCCTTTTTTGAACTGGTGTCCTATCCATTCAAGTTTAGGTGGTCATCATGCCTTGGTAGGTCTGCAGCCATATCAAACTCTCCATTTTTAGATGATAGTGAGTTTTTCTGCTCTGTAAAATGTCCAAAGCTTGAAGAATAGTTTTATAACCCAACCTTAACTTAAATATATCTCTGTATCCCAGACCTCTGCTGTGTTTCGCAGGCTTTATGAAGCTCTAACAGAACAGCTGGATGTAGAATTTAGAATAGAATAGAATAAAACAGAAAATCCATTTATTGTCCAACAAGGGGGAAATTCTCCTGATTACAGCAGCAAAAAGTTCAAAGAAAAAATGGTCACACAAATGTGGACCTTAGAAAAATGTATAATAATAAAATAATAAGTGAAAAGTTAAAATATAAACAGTACTGTACTGTAAACTGTTTAACAATATAAAACTGTGCACCTGGAGAATAAATAACCAATATACATTTATAGACATTTTTACACTAATGCATATTTGGAGAGTAATGGATAATTTAGAGAGATTAAATAGCACACTTGGGGGTTGAATACGAATGTATGCTCCTGGGTAAAATTGCAGTAAAATCCACTATAGGCATTGTTATAAATATATAGTAGCAATAACACTTTTATTTTTTTACTTTTATTCTGTACTTGCCCTATTTTAACTGTCTTGCCTTTTGGTTCTTGCAGTACACTGTTCAAATCGACCTGCCACTCATAGACAAAGGCTTAAAGTAAGAACAAAACTTGATTACCACCAAACTACGGGAACATTTCATGAAAACTCTGAATCTACATCTTGTTGCCATTGTCTAAATGTGTGTTTTCAGTACTTCATGTTTATCTCTTTCAGCAATTACTGCAAGTCAAGTACTATCAAGATCCACACATTGTTCCTGAGACTGCAGTAAGTTTTTCATCTCAATGACAAAACCAACAGCAGAGGCAGACGTCAGCTTATCTCAAAGCAGCAACACTAAAGGCAACACTTCTCTGCAGCTGTGTGACAAGCCACAGCCGCAAAAAAAGGGCTGATGTAGACAAGGGCGCTATCTTCGAATCTTAAATGTTCCCTTCAGAAAGCACGGAAGGGCAGTGAAACTCGGTTTGGTTTTTGTTTTTAGAATTTGGCGAATGAGGAAAAGATCTAGGCCGCAGAACTTTCATTGGCATTTTTTTTTTTCCTCGTTCTCTTTTGTTTTGCTTTAGAAAAAGAAATAACTTCTGCTTTTCTTTTTGGTAGCTGCCACATGTCACTACACCTTTCAGTGTCAGAAGGAAATGTGTGCATCAAAGTTAAATAAGCCATCAAGGATGAAGAAAAACTTATATTCAGCTCCAGTTTTGACTGTAGTGCTTCAAGATGGTGAAGAAGCTCCATGTTTATGTTAAAAAAATAAGGTTTGGTAAAAGAAGGAATGGTGCAATATAGATATAACTCTTCACATAAAAACCACAGAAGGGTTTGCCGATTATCTGGTGTGATAAGACAGCTGTAGGTTGCATATCTGACACAGCTTTATGGTCCACAAGTGTTGGCAATAGAGATACCAGATAGTTGTTGGGTTATTTTACTGTTTAAACATGACAGTCAGCAGACACCTGGGATATAACTGCATTAGACGGCATTAAAACAGGAGTTGGATAGGGGTCAGTGGTCCTCAGAATATCATTTACAAAAGGAACGCATTTTAAAGGGTGAGACTTTACACTAAAAACCCCAGGGTTGTGCTTTATCTAACTGTATTTACCTTGAGAATGCAAAAAAATATTTGAATTATTTTGGATTTGTTCTGATATTTATTCAATATAGTGTCATAGATGGACTTGAAAGCACTCGCTTCTGTAGGTGCCAAACTGTGAGAGCTCAACTTGATATTTTTTATCCAAATCTGTTGATCATCATCATGTATTGATATCATCAAATCCATTCAAAATATGAAAATCTCTCCCCCTCAAGTTTTTTTTCAGTTATTTGTCCAGGTTCAGAAAACCGATTTTACAATTAGCCAAATTATTGCGTAAATACAAAATGTAGCTTGCATTGTTTTTCATTAACAGAGAAAAACCTACCTGTCATGATTTTATCTAAAGCTCTGACCCAAATGCAGAAGACCAAACAGAGAGACCAGGGAAAAGTTTAACAGGTTTTATTCAGAGCAAGTAGAGAAGAGTACAGTGCTGCTCTGAACACTGTCGAACCAGGACTGAAAAGAGAAGGGGAAGATTCTGCGGTTAGTTCAGGCTCAGTGTGAAATTAGTGTTTTCTTGATTGAAGAAGGGAATAAAGGTTGCAGACTCACGTTTCCAGAAAAAGTTGTTGCTTAATTTATCCAGTCGGTGTGGGTTGTTCCAGTGAATTACTTGTTCGTCGGAGGGCGGACAGGGTTTACCCAGATTGCGGTTGTTCCCTGGTGAACGGAGAAGCTGACTGCCACTTAGTTTTCCTGCGGTAATTGAACGGGTTATTGTGGAGATGAATCCCCTGCTCAGAGAGAAGCCCAAAACAATCGTTGGGGGGGAAAAGTGGATCCAAACCACAAACTTGAATCCTCAGCTCAGTTTGGTGCTCAGAGAATCCTTCCAAGGGGGAGAAGGTCCAAAACATTCAGTTTGCAGGATGACTTCCTGCCGAGCGGCAAAGACAAAAACAGCAAGGCTTAAACTCAGCTAGACAAAAACTCAGGTTAGACTCTGCTAAACTAAGCATTGCTAGAGTATCCCAAACTGGCAAACACTCTGGCGTCGAGGTAGAGGCAGTCAGCAGCTTAAGAGCCCTCAGGTAATGAGGCAACGAGCTGTAGGTGTGCAGGGAGGCCCAATGAGGACTGGGCACCACCTGGTGGAGGAGGAAAGGAAACACAAAAACAGACCACACAAACTGGATTCCTGACACTACCTGGTTCTCTGTGACAAAGAATTCATTCGTTACGAGTCAGTAATGAACTCAGATACGCTACTTTCTATTGATTTTTTATT